TACGAGACTCCTAATATCAACGCACGTACGAAGCGCCTAATTAAACTAAGTAACGATCATAATTAAACACGGATACTATCATATAAAAGTCCTAAAGCTTAAGTTTCTTCACGCTGACAGTAACGTCGAATGATACTAGTAAAAGTCCACGTAAATCTACCTAATATTAATAATATGCCCCTCTCCCACGTACCAAAATATTCACACCTACTATAGCTATATCCGGACGTCAAAAAATCGCCCCAACTAGAACCTACAAGACTAGCGAGAATCACCATCACACTAACTCTATTTATAAACTTCACGTACACACATATAGGAAAAATACAACGTAAACGCGCAGCGCCATCCCACTAATACTGATGCGATATAGCACGCTTGAACGGGCTACCTTTTGAACACCTGCCTCCTATCTTAAACACGTACGAACCTATATTAAACACGCGGGACCCGCCTAATCATGCCATAGGACTTAGCAATATTCTGTTTACTCCGGTCACGAACCTAATATTAAAGCCAAACGTACAACCTGATATTTAACACACGACGAACTCCTAACTAAACACGTACGATCCTATAAAAACACGTACTCCCAACTATATAATCACGTATGATTCTATATTAAACCACAGTACGCCCCTACTATTAAACAACGGTACGAACCAATATATTAAAACACGTCTAACCTATATTAAACGACCGTACGAACCTATATTAACCACTGTACAGAACCTCTAACTAAACACGTACTATCTATATTAAACACTACTCCCCTATATAAACAAACGTACGAACCTATAACAAATATCTCGTCGCGTAGACGCCTATATAAACCAACGTATGAATGTTATAAACTAGTTCTCGCGAAGTTAAAACATAACTATATTTAAATTGAATAAATGAATTAACCAACGTGCCTGCACGTACAAAAACCATAGTGCATTGTCATATCAACGCTTCTTTGGTTGAAGTTGTAGCTTCAAGACATTAATACGTTAAATGAATCAGCATTGAATTTAAAAGAAAGATTACCAATCTAATGAAGTAACTAAATGAATAAAAATGTGATAAAATAGGCTTTCGTAAGCCGCTATTGCGATTAAGGTTTCCACATATTGTGCATGAATTGCAATCGCTACTTATGGATTCTATGAATTATTGACCTGTATTATGAATAAAATGGTATGTAATATCTATTTAATGTTCAGAAACACACTGTGCAGAGGAAAACGCATCTCTAATCAAATACAAGCGTGAGAGCATACATCTGGCAAAGAGACAAAGAGCACTGCAGTGTCCGTAAGGCGCACCTGGCCCTATCACTATACTTCTTGCCTGTTATGATTGGTCAGGTACTTAGAGTACAGATGAAATTAGAATTATTACCAATGAAGCTACGATGACCGATGAAGCAACAGAGAGCGCTCGGTCTGACCTGCAACGCACAGTCATAAAATTGCAGCGAAATTGAATACGTATCTGTACTCAGTTCTGCGTCATGAATTGTCTGTATACACCACTGGATGTAATATATAAAACGAATGTATTATTGACAATGATCATTTCTTCGACAGATATTAGCAAATTAATATAGATTTATGTATAGTCGCGTTTGATTTCACCTGCATAACAACGTAAAAATGCGCTACACACGGACCGATTCTCACGGCCGAAAACATCATGTACTTACCAGTGCGTTATGTGCAGCTTGCGACTAACGTAGGGATTAGAACATCAGTAGAAATTCAAGGAGAAAACAACATAAATCGCTGGCGAGAGAGCACAAGACCATGAGTCTTCGTTTTTTTGTTTATGTTGCGGGGGGAAGGCATCAAGCGTGTGATCTTCTAATGAGAATTAATATACATGATATTTAGAAAAGCATACTGTACATTTTTAAACGGAATTATGTTCTTTATTATTATATTAATAATAATATACTTTTTATAAACGTTAAATTGAAATCAGCCGTGAACGTCCTATCCAGGCGCAGCATTGTAATCGTTTGTTTAACGATGCTTTAAATTAATAAACGAGCAGACAAGCTAACAAAGTTACCATATTTCGCTTATCGTTACTAATACCACTTAATGTCACTTATTACATGTTTCTAATATCCAGTTCAATGCTGAATACCACCGCCCTAACCATAGTGGAATTCTCGTATCGCATCAGCTTGCCTATCTTTTCCTTAACGCCATGCTCATATGCCACCAGACAATTATATTTGTGATGAATATGCATTTAATATCGGTTAGGGTACATAAGCATAAGATTTCTGTAAGAAATTTGCTATCATAGACCTGTTTTATAAATTAGGAACGCGCCCTAACGTTTATAATGTGCAAAAACTTCTAATTTTGTCCCGCTCCCTTCGTCCACTGACTCCATTGTCCCCTTGCCCACTCCCTTCTTTCTAGCGCGCTCTCGGCTAATCTTCTCTGCGTCCCTCCTCAGTCCTCCTACCGCTCTCTACCCTCAGCCAAAGCTATATAGAATCTTTATCACCGAAACATCCCAGTACTGCACCGCCTATAACATGCTCCACGATGCTAATATCTCCCAGGGAGAATACTAATTTTCGCAAAAATCATGAATTTAAAAATCGTAGAAGGAGGTATCTATCATAAATTTAATGATAACGATTTTTATCAGTAGACCTTCTACGAAATAGGAAAAGATCTGCATGTTAATTGCCCGCTGCATATAACAGTCCATGTAGCCCACACAATCGGCTACGTAGCGTGTTAGCGCTGCGCAATATCCGCAACCAGAGAGTTAATTTGAGAAATGGATTTAATATTGGTTAATGGTATCTCAGCAATACACACAGGCGCAGGCCGCGCGATGACCCTCGGTTGGCCTGACGCCGTTCCGCTCACGCAACGGTACAAACGCGAAGCGCACACACATCACGCGCAGCCAGCGCACAACACCCCGCACGAAGGCCGCTACTCTGTCGGGGATATCTCGTTCCTGATTGGTTAAACGCAGAAGAGGTGCTCGGCGTATTTTTCAACAGTTGCACACACACGCGCGCAACGCGAAACACACAATCACAGTCGCCGCGCCACGCACACGCAGCACATGTACGCCACACGCGCGCGTAGCAGACACACAAGAGACACACTAGTATTGTGCGCAAGTCGGCAGGCGCACACTCACGAATAGCGCTAAAAATGGGCGAAGCTGCGTACGCGACAAGCACGAGCAGCTCGGCCCCGCAGCAGCGCACACACGTAATGCGCAACGACACATCACCGCAACACAATCACGCTCGCAACATACGCACGTATAAAGTGCTAAGCTCGCTCTTCCCTTCTCTCCCTTCTATTTCGCTATCTTTTCTGGCTCTTATATCTCTCTCAAACTCGTTTATCTTCATCTCCTCGTGTCTCCTCTCAGTTTTCTTACTCTCTGTTATGTTTAATTTGTATATGAATACCTGTTCCATTGTAACTTTTATAAAAAATATAACTGAAAATAGAGAGAATGGGAGAGAGCTAAGAAAATAGAGAGAGATGGAGGCTCTAAGAGATAGAAATAGGCGAATAGAGAAAAGAGATGAAGCAGTGGCGACGACGTAAGGGGGGCATTGCGCCTGCCCCCAAAGCCATCTCGCTGTACAAAAGTTTTTAAGACACAGTCAACAGAGCAATGCATAATATTTATTTAACTCCATAGGCCCAAAAATGAGCCTTTCAATCTTTGGTTTTAACGCTAGTCCTATGTTAATTTGAATTCTTATTGAGTGGCAGACCTCCCAACCCTTCCGATTTTGGCGGAAAATTTCCGCTTTCTTATTTCATTTCCGCCACTACGATTTTCGCCTTTATTTTTCTGTGAAACAGCAATTTTCGTGGATAGCCTTTATTTACAACACTAGCGCACTACAGTAAAATTAGAAGTTTGGATATGGATCAGAAATGCTCTGCAAGCGTGTTTATTTCTCTGTTTAAGGCATACAGAAGCTTAATTTTTCACCTCAAAAAATGTTAAAAGCTCAGAGCTTCCGGGAACTTCGCCCCCTGTACTCCACAATTAGTTCTCGCGCTACGCGATCACAACATTTTTCCTTGCCCTCAGCTTGCCTCCACTTTTACAATCCTGGCGCCGCCACGGGAGAGGGCGGGATGGAGGGAAGAAGGGATGGGGAGGGAGAGAGAGCGTGCGATGGTGAGAGAGAAAGAGAGAGAGAAAGAACCATGCGCTGTGCATTAAAATGGCTCCGACTGGGCAGGATTTAACCATGGCCGGCGATCATTGCTACGTCCCGACCCCGGCTTGACACCCAGAGGATATTTTGGCAATATCTATTATTTGCGAAATCGCTCGACGCTGTATGGAAGCCTTTGCGTTCGTCCAAGACGCGTCTCGGCGTAGACCAAGCGAGGGCACGCGGGATGGCCCCTAGCACTCATGCGATGTATCATATATGTATTATGTTCGGTAACAAATACGCATGTAGGGATGCCACATATGCCTGATTACATTCTTTCAATTGTATAAATCTTAGAAGTATGCAGTTTGTGCATTTTTGTGTAAAAACGTTACTCCCTAAGGGATATGACCGCACTGATGATCAGCTTTCCACTAAATAATTTAAATCTCTGTCGGCATGTCGGCATCCAGTGTCGCTGCCCGCCTTGGTCTAGCAGGTTTCCGTTTGATGTTTGGTGTGCACACATTGACCCATGCCCTTCAGACGAGTCTGTGGAGCACATGTGCCTCTCTCTACACGTCCACTGCCCAGGTTATGGCCATTCAAGTATGCCTTCAGATACTTCTGTTGCTTTACATTTGCTATCATGCATAATTCTGTAATTATTCACTCTTTTTATTGTCGATATTAGTTAAATATGGCAAGACCTATTAAGAAACTGTTTATTTTAGAGAGCCTCCTTGAAATGTAAGGGCTGTAATTTGATAATGAATTTGAAATATAAAATTGGTAATTTTACGACTGTTGCTTATTTAGTAGATAACATAACGGCGATAAATCAAGTAGATTTGAATTTTTATATACATACTTATACATCATATTTCCAGTTGAATTTCTGAAAAAAAGCTGACACCGCCGTACATTCCATTTAATGTTTAAGATAGTAACTTCTAGAATTTAGACAGGAAACATACACTACAAGATCTTATTAAGTACGGAGGTTTGCTATGCTACAAATGTCATATGACACTTAGCTAAATGTACAATTGCTCCTAGAAATTCCATACATTATATTCAGTATGCACAAACTAATCGGTGGCAACATGAGTCCCTTCTATCCAAACTCCTGTCCACGACAATGAAATCTTTAACTTACAAATAACATGAAAACATTACGAAAAACAGCCCGAAGAATCAATTTCTCTGCTTCTGTTCTACTAAGTCAGGCGGACATCTTTTCGTCACCTTCCCAGTGCAACATTAGCTAGCCTGGGTTTTTCTCAAGGCGTGCGAGCTCTGGTCTCCTTGGCCTGTAGATATTCGTACCCAGCCTGGACAAGGTACTTAAAGGCGGCACTGTGTCGTAGATCTCCTAACTCTTCACAACTGAGCAGGCTTTGTACTGAAGGTAGATACCCGTCCATAGGTAGGCCTGTTGATCAGCAAACGAACATCAGCCACACACGCACATACACGGAGTGATATATAGTGAGTGAAGGGGTTCTGGGCGATGAAACACGCACGCTTCCACTGGTAACGATGCTAATTAAAAGACAGGCGCAAATAAATTATAATCATGCCAAATACTTAAAATTCAATCACAATTAAAGGCATAATAAGCCCATTGCTTATGCAATGTTGACGAATGCTAGAGTTACTGGCACATTGTGTAGTTAATAAGTGCATAACCTTACAGCTAAACGCGTATTAGTTTGTCCAATATCACTGCTGGTTACATTACAAACAAGACTTGAAATCGGTTGTTGATATGTATCAACGTATCATTTACGTGCCGTAAATGTCATCCAGGAGTCAAGTGATGACGTAAACATTTGTGCGGCCCGTATGTTTTGGACGCCAGATGAAATGGAGGTGTCAGCGGTGTAACCACGGCCACGGACTAAACATGGAAATGGAGTAAAACACACGTACTAACCACGGACGCACATGGACAGCCCTGACAAAAAGTTCCTTTCAATTTCAAAGGATTTCAATTAGACATTTCTTAGTAACCAGCAGTGATATTGGACAAACTAATACGCGTTTTGATGTAAGGTTATGTACTTATTAACTACACAAGGTGCCAGTTACTCTAGCAATCGTCAACATTGCATAAGCATTGGTCTTATTATGTCTTTAAGGTTCAGAAACAGTTGGCGAAGAAGTCATCTTCTTTAAAGGCACATTACAAAATCACTTGTTAAACTAAAGCTATAGCTGAATGTGAGAAATTTACCATGCACTCGAGCTTCGGTAAACTACCCTTAATTAAATCATACAACACAAGATGAATAGTGTATGAAGCATGAGTACTAACACAATGTTTTTACACCAATGTAAAACGACAACAGTCAATATTATGAATTATGATCGCTATGGACTGGAATAAACAAATAAAACCTGGCCTAAACATGTAAATGGCGTAAAACACACAGAGAGCCACGGACTACAGCGGACCAAACAGGTGAACAGGTACAATTACCATCTAGGGAAGCCAGTTCTATTGTTCGGAACAGAATGGTGTCCTTGATACCTTCGAGTGAGCCGTCAGTTTCAATATCATCCCAGCTGGAAAAATGTTAACAATGACGCAACAAGCTTCAACATTTGGCCTCCAATGTAATAGACATTATATTGCACTCGGAACAATAATCACTGAGCATGAATCTAGAACCCAGTGCAATGATGGCTCTGAATACCCAGACCTATACTGAGCAGAATATGACCAGTGTGTTACTAGGGTTAAGCTGTTAGGATTGCTATTTAAGATTCCTCATATTTGAGCAGCTGGTTCACTGCAAGGCAACCTATTCCCTCTTCCATTTTATCAGCTTTCTACTAGGCTAGTATAAGCAAGGGATTAAACTGCCACAGATTCTGAACTTTGCCTGTTTGCGTTTTAGCCTAGTTGCCTATATCGCCAACAGCAGGACATTATACTGGAAGTAGTAGTACTAGAACGCTATTAATTTTAATACTGGGAAATACTACCTACTAAAATTGCCTGCCAGATTAGAAACGTACCTATCTTGTAGAATAGCTGCACACCATATTTTCAACTTTAAATCATCAATCATACTTTGTCTCTGAAAAAAATATTATACTAATTAAACAGTGTGTCTGTAGTGGTTAGTCTAATCCTACGTCACTCATTATTTACAATATTTAAATTACACAGCAATCTTCATTTCGCTTTCAATGCTTTGTGTGAGAATTAGCATTTACAGGTGGTTGATACATAGTAATTAGGCCACCATAAGGTTGCAGCTCACCTGAAGATCTGTTGTAGGGATAAACTCGAGCAGATCCAATGCCTTTTTGAAGTCAAACTCATTTGCCCTCACGTTTGCCTCGCCAATGTACACCTAGAGAAAAAAACAGAATAGTTCTGCATCAGTGTGATCATATGCAATATATATGTATTTTTCTAATGCACACAGCTGCTCTAAAGAGGCTTAGTAAGATAAATTCCCTTACCTCGATGAGCTCTTCTGGTGTCAGCACAGGCATAATACCTTTGTCTAGGCCTTCTGCGGTTAGAACTTCCAGTGGAAGTCCCTCCTGGTGCAATACAATGTCTTGCTCCAAGTTTACCACTTAAAAAAACAATTAGTTTACTTTACCTTCAAGCCTATTTCGGCAAATGATACATTCACCCAAACTCTGGCTCTAACTCAACTGATGCAACACACTGCCAGTAAATATGCCTGTCAGCCCCTTCTTCCATAGAGTCTATCTAATGGCCATTACCTCCTTCATGGAACCATTGTCATGATACCACTCCCTTCTTTCAGCACTGTACATTTACCATCCATCACTATCACCACTGTACATCTACCATCCACCACTACCACCACTGTACACCTACTATCCACCACTACCACCACTGTACACCTACTATCCACCACTACCACCACTGTACACCTACCATCCACCACTGCACACATAACCTACCATCCACAATCTCCTCAACAGCCCCTGCTGGCTCATCACTGGCTAATGCTGCCAGTTTACTGAGGCTTAGAAGTGTTTTCTTCTTTGGCAAGTTGGCTTGCTCCTCGATGGCGAGCGTCTTTAATGTCTGTGCAGCCTAGAACGATAACCAGTATCAATGTCGTGCCCAAGGTAACTTACTCGTGGTTTAAATAGTACAAGATGAATGCATAAGTGATAAAATCATTCAAAAAGAAAGTAAGAACAGCATATGATATGTAGCAGAACAGTACATGACAAATGATATATGGGTAGCATTAGGTGCACTACCAGAAGTTTTGTGATAGTGTGTAGCAGTATGTGGCAGGCATTGTGGGACTGGTGAATGTGACAGAGTATATATGTGGACCAGTGTTAGAATTAACGATGTGTTAGTGGCGAATATGTGACACTGTATAAAGGTGCATGTGTGTCAGACTGTGACATTATGAACTGGAATAAATGAATAAAACACGGACCAAACAGGTAATTGGTGCAAAACGGACGGAGAGCCATGGACTATTACGGATAGTAATTAGCTGCTAATTTAGCCCGTAATAGTCCGTGTTTTATTCGTTGATTCTAGATTATAGTGTGAGTGGCAGCATGACGTTTGACTGGAGCATATGTGACAGCGTAAAAACATGCATGTGTGTCAGGCTGTGTGTTGCAGCACGACGCGTGACTGGAGAACATGCGACAGGGTGCATGCGTGCATCACAGGACTACGTACCCCGATGAAGTTCCTCGTGTGGACGTCGTGTATCCAGCGCAGGCTGCCGTGCAGCTGCAGGAACGCCGTCAGCTCGGCGTCGTGAGCCGCCGGCTGCGAGAACAGCCGCGCCTGCTTGCCCTCCGCGACGTACGTGGCGAACACAAACTGTGCGAAACCCTGCGGCGCGCCGCAACGTCGCGTTAGATACGGTCTCGCGATAGCTGCGACGGCGACCGTTACATGCATACATGTGATGCTAGCTGCGACGGCGACCGTTACATGCATACATGCAACGCGTAGGGCTTCACCATTACATGATAGTCTGGTTAGGCTGCACAAATATATTGTGCAGGCAACACTTGGTTAAGAATCAGCGGGACCACACGGAATGCCCTCACATACGTACGATTAAGCACACTGCATTTAGCCATTTGTAGTGTCATTCTATGATGGCCATGAGAGATGTTTAATTATAAACAATTATACAGAATGTACAGCTTTTCCTGACAACCACCCCCAACCCCTTCACCTCAACTGTGCAAAACATTGTTGCAATGTTGAATTTCTAGAGTTGGCAGAAAGGCATGAAATTCTAAGTGTACAACGACCGTTGACCAACTCCCACAGAGTTCCATTTGTATGATTTTGATAACTGATGGTAACTGTAAATGGGTCCCTCAGGCTTGTATGAACAGATGACAACCATTGAGAAAAGCAAATGATGCCCAACAGGGTTTCACTCACTTCTTGCGAGAACTGGGTCATGTATCTCTGCAGTCTGTCATCGTTGTCCGTCAGCTCACACATCTGAGTAAGGACACGGAAGTCGGCGTACTTCTCACCAAGAAACATCGCCTCTTCATATGCTTCACACTGCACTGTAAGTAAAGACGGAGAAGGCACTGTCATTTTGTCACTGATCTTGTTCGTATAGAAAAGCAACCATGCCAATAACACAGAAACGCCTTCAGTACAATCAGAGCCAATGAGAAATATATGCACCTCTAAGAAGGTGAAAACAACTGAAACCATTTTGCATCTTATACGTCTTTCAAGTCAGCTAACATAGCATCACACGAAAATAAATAATGATTAACTAAACATCCCTCTCTCCCAACCCCGCGCACTCACGTAGTGGCTGAATGAGTCGATATCTTTCACTCTCGTACTTCTTCTTCAATGTTCTGCGTCGTTCAACGCTCACGTCTACTCCTAGCGCTTCCACCTGCGTGGCATAGCCGGCTAAAATGTTGTCAGAGAGGTTAACCAGCTGGCGCACGAGGGCGGATCGCGTGTGGGAGTCCATCGACTCTGGGATGCCATTCTCGACTGTGAGCTTGTGCTGCAGAACAAAGATACACACACAGAGATTTAGATAAGAATGTGCGCATACATTTTATCTACATGGTTAGCAAGGTGTGGTCATAAGCATGCATGCAGGGTGAGAAATATATGGACATAGCATGACTGTCTAGTCCGAGATGCAGGGATATACCATCATACATGCTTGGCCAGCAAGTGTGGAAATAAGCACATCTGAATGCTTAATAATCTTGTGGATACAGCACACCTGCATGGTCAATACATCATACCTGCCTGATCGATACTATGTGGAAGCAACATTACCTACTTAATCAATACATCATACCTGCCTGGTCAATACTATGTGGAAGCAACATTACCTACTTAATCAATACATCATACCTGCCTGATCAATACTATGTGGAAGCAACATTACCTACTTAATCAATACAACATACTTGCCTAGTCAATACTATGTGGAAGCAACATTACCTGCTTAATCAATACATCATACCTGCCAGGTCAATACTATGTAGAAGCAACATTACCTGCTTGTTCAATACACTATATCTGCCTGGTCAATGCTATGAGGATACAGCATACCTGCTTGGTCAGCAGTGATCGGAGACCAGTGGTGCCTGATCGCGCCGTCCAAGGCACGTAGTCTTTGTACTGTTCTACTGTGCTATTCACAAACATGGTGGCCTGTGCTGCACGACAATCAGCTACTTCCTTCAAAACACCCTGAAAAAGATTCAACAATTCATGTGGCATCATTTGTGTGCTAGAGCCTTTACTCGGTCTCGAAAAACAAAACGTCCATGGAGCACCATTCTTTTGATATAATACATCCACTAACAAGTTCTTAATCCACCAGAGAGTATATGACGCACACGACATTCTTGCAGGATGAAAATGCGACATATTTGATCTCATTAAACGAGGGATTGAGCTGATGCATAGTTTCACACCTCGAATATTGTGTTTGTGTGCGACAAGAACGTGATGCAGTCTACGGACGAGACGTCGGACGACTCTATTAGCTCCAGTTCCACCTGTACCAGACCCCAGAATATGTCATCTATCCTGGATACCTGTCAAAGACAAGACTGGATTACTGATCATTCAATCTATATCACAGCAAGCCTGATTATACTAATAGGTGACATGTGTCATTGTTTCTTTCTAGATAAACCTCCATACTGAAGTCATCAATTCAGTGCTCTGAACTGGGGAAAAAACATTAGAGCTACTACAAGTAATATTACCAGAATAATATCATTCTGGTACCAGTAAAAGCTTATTACTGATAATGTTAAATTATCATTAATTATTATCATTAACTATTACTAATGAGAATGATAAAGTCATTCATGTATTTTCATCTGATAATAAGGTCCACTCTGTTATAGTATAATATAGTAATGTGTAAAATGCAATGTATTTCAGCTTGGAATTACAGGTAAAACAGCACGAGACATTGTATATGTATAGATACAAGACAAGTAATGCATACAAGACTGATAGCAGCATGTAATTACATTAAACAAATAATTGGTAATACCTCCCGGTAGAACAGGTCCTGTGGTGTCAAAGCTGTTCCAGGTGACACCGTCTGGCGCTTAGACAAAACCTTACGTATGCCGCTGTCTACAACCGATGGATATCTGCAATAATAAGTTCTCGGTCATTCATTGGTCAGCCGTATGTGGGTAAAGGCTGATAGTGATATATGGTAACATGATCCAGTGAATGTTGTGAAACAGTATTCGCACACACCAGCCAATTAAGCTTCGCCCTTAGATGCTTCTCCGAGAGACAACAATGTGACAACAACAGTGGGTTTACTTACATGGTGTGAAGACCCCGGAGAACATTTGCAGCGACAAGTTTCTCGGTGTGCTCTCTCAGTACGAGGCACGTCGGTGCCATCTGCCGTGCTTCCGTAACGCCACACATCTGAGTGACAACAAATGTATGAGAACTATTGTACTGGATAGCCAAACCTAACAATGTAGAGACTACACAGAAAAATAGACACTGAACGCAGCTTCGAAGTGTTGCAAATAATTGAGAAAGTGAAATCGAGACAAAGTGCAGATTTTAACTGAGATTGGATACATAAAAGACGACATAATACGATTCACAGTACACAGAAACACTACCTCCCCCCACACACAAATTGTTCGGTCATGAAAATTGGGTCTAATGGAATGCCACCATGACACAGACATGACACACGAACCACTCCAGCTTTACGTGATGATCACGTGTAGGAACACTTACCCGTTCCCAAATGCCGATCTCCCGGAGAAAGGTGACGAAATACTTGTGAGCTTTCTGCTTGTCCTCCAGCTGGTGCATGAGGATGAGAGACGTTGACGTCGAACTCACGTCTGCAGATGAACAATCGACACGCCAACTTAACCAGGTGCTGGTACTTGTTCTTGATGTTTTTTTTATGTTAGCCTTACATGGCATCATATTGCTGCTTTTTTGATTAGCACTTATGTTGCGAATTTGTTACATTCGTGTTGTTGTATTCATAGCTGTAGTAGTACAGCTATCGTACTGCATTATGTCATTTACCTGCCTGCTACTACATAGCAATGGACTGACCTTGTGGAATTGACTCTGCCCACCTAGGGTCCAAGGCAGGAAAATCGTCCAACAGCTGCTGCCCAAGCGAGATGACGATTTTGTCCAATAGCGAATCAGGTGCGGATGTCATTGTAGAGGGTAGAACATCCTCAACAATAGCCTGAGCATCTCTCTAAATGCAGCAGTTAAGTTGTCTGAATTAATTGGCTTCATAGGTTAATCATATATTAAATAACCAAGATAGGGAAAAGCTATTATCACCACAACAATTTTTCTACTAATCTGACGTAATCGCAGACATAACCCAAAAATAAATGAAAGTGTCACATTCACATACTAAAATTTAACAAAATCGAATGAATTTAGATGGCCATTTTCATTTTTGTCAAAAAGTGGGCGTGGCTCAAAAGTAGGTCGACTGGCGTGCTACAAAATAGGAAGTTCTCAAATCTCTCCCATAGGAGTAACAACTGTATTCAATTTGAAACATGTGGGTCAAACGGTTCTTGAGTTATCGTTGACCGTATAGTAGGCAGACACTGAAATGCATAGTGAAATTGCCAAAATCTACCTAATTAAAAAAAAATATCAAAACCCGTGTGATATGTTTTGGGGCCAGTTATTCACATACTAGAAATGAGCAAAATCCATTGAGCCTGAACTAACTTATGGCCATTTCCATTTTTGCCAAAAAGTGGACGTGGCTCGAATGTAGGTCGACTGGCGTGCTCCAAAATAGGACGTTCAAACCTATCCCATAGGAGTAACAAATATATGCAATTTGAAACGTGGGTCAAACGGTTCTTGAGTTATCGTTGACCGTAGCCAAATGTTGACGGACGGACGGACGTACGACACCCCATAGCAATAGCTCATCTTGACGATGTCAAGGCAAGCTAAAAAAAAACAATGAAAACCAAGCACACATATTTACGAGTAAATAGATTATATTTGCGAATGCTACAATCGACTAGCTTCACATTGAAAGGACTTATCTAGAGGCACATACCATGTTTCGTCTTACAAAGTGCAACAGTGCAGCCTTCAGGCGACTCGTCTTGTCTTCACTGATGCTCATGTCATGGAGCTGATCGTCGCCAACGATTGACATCAATGCCGACTGTAACGCACAGCAATGCAAGCACTTTTAATGGACACCACACATTCCCGCATGTAACGATTTAAACCAGACTTCGTCCAATAATCTTGAGGGAGCAGTGCCAATTTTTCGAAAGGGCAATTAAACAGAGAAAATTATCATCGTGCCACGTACGACATAACGCGCAGGTTCGTTTCTTTCCAATATGAATGCTCGGAAAAAATATGCAACGCTAACAACGTTCTTATAGATAATACAGGATTATCATGTATGCTTACCTCATTCCTCCAGCTATCTTCAGCTACTGTCATTGATGATAGATTCCCACTGTAAGAACAAGGCAACCTATCACAACTTTGTGATGGAACATGGAGGCTCTAATTTCAGCCAGTGGATGTCCAGTGGCACAATTGTTATATATGTTGCATCATTACTACTATAAAAGGTAAAGCACACATTCAGTTTCATTATGTCATTGCCTTGAAAGGCCACGCAATAAATGATGCAAGGATTAATATAAATAAAACCTGCATCGTGAAAAGTACTTTTAATTAATATTTAACAACAAAAAGTAATATGTAGCATAAATAAAACATGATTTAGCTGAGGGTAACATTGAAGCTACATACATTGGTGTTCTTCTTGAATTACCTGATATCCAACTGAGAAGATGGTTGCAAGGTGACAAATGCCCGGGTTGTAGTGAAAAACACAGCCTGTTTGTGAACAGACCCTGCACCCAGGATTCGCTCCCCCAGTGAGCTAAACTCTGTCTTCTCTATTTCGTAACCATGGATGGTTGCTACGAAAACGGATCCGGTAATTAATGAAATTTTACTATCGTGATTTCAAATCCTCTATTGACTGATTGATTCCTGGGAGGAATAACAAATAAGGAAACAGGCATTTGGAGTTTGAACCTATTCAGTTACATTGTTACTATATTTGCGTCATGAAACAAAACAGAATTGTCAAATAAAAGATAAATTTTGAAAACCTAAACATCAATTATATTGAGGCAATGCTAACATCTACCAGTATCAAGACAGTTTCACAGTATATATTACCTGAAGTACACAGCACCGTATTTGGAGTATAAATAAAAGCAGAACTTGAAAAGGGGTCAGATAGCAGAAACCTGTGGCTGTGGATCTCATCCTCTCTTCCAGGCTTCAATGTAAATAAGACAGGCGTGGCTTAATATTTTGTGCACAAAGATGCACAACGAACATTAATTAATAGATATATACTTGCTGCAGTGTGTTCTATTATTGCCAACTATCCTTACCTGGTACAAAGTGTTGTGTTTTGTAACTGTAAACATTGAAAAGTCAACAGGAACACCCCGATTGGTAGCCACTGAACCTGTAATAATAATATACCGTTTTTATTTAGATTTCAGTCGTGACACTGACATCTCATGATAAGCAGTTGAAATAGCAAATATCGATAAACATATTTTGATAGAAAAGCAGTCATGTAGCAATACTTACAGAAAGCATAGTGAACTTTGCAAACAGCTTGGTAGTTGTTGCAACCAGCAGCAAGAATTGTCACACCATCTCTACAAATAAAAAAAGGAAATTCCAAAATTCCAACTTTTCCTATATCACATCCTCTCTTTACTACTAACAAATGTGAACTCAAACATAAAGAAAAGCATATTATGATTTTTGAATAATATATATCCATTTTAAGAAACTGATATTTATATATATTGATATGATTTATATTATATATGATATTATATTACATTATATATTTAGATTAATGACGTAATTTATATATGATAATGACTAACATGAGATTAATCTCTGAATGCACAAGTACACACACTATCCTCATCAGCTATCAGCCCATCAGTCATAACACACAGAACTCTTACCTATTCACTTGCATATCCAACAACCAGGTTTTTAACTCTGTAGCATCACATTCATCATCCTAGAGCCAAGCAAATCATTGCCACTATTATTATAACTTCACATAACTCCACCCCATACAAAAAGATAACTGCTGTTTTCTTCTAGTGATACCACAGATATTTATTCCACATACGTTCAACGTATTATTACAAAGTGACACCTACACCTAACACAATATGCTAAGATGAGAACCAAAGAATACACATTTTCAGTGACACATACAGAAGTTGTACTTTAGACCTTTAAAAATATTATATCTATACTTACATAAACTACCTGACACAGGCAGTGAGCCAGAGCTGTTTCCACATCAAATTCCAGCAGAAGCTAAAGCAAATTGTTTACTTGTGAGTAACGATGGCACAGGTAAAATATATAACAATTAACTTACAGTGCATCTTTTATAAGAATAACTAATATAAAAATTATAGGATTATTGTGAATTTAAGTTCCTGCTCCTCCCGTCTCGTACCTTCTCGCCATCGTCCCAAAGCTCCCATTTCTGCAGCTTCCCTCCAGTTAGAATATGTAGAAACTTTCCATCCATATCCTCCCCATCCGACACCAACACTGACTGAACTTTCTATGGTAGAACAAAAACATGAAGATATCAGTGCAAATGCAGTCAAACTGTACAAAATAACAGACACAGTCGCAAAGGTAGCGATGATTTAATTTTGTTTCTTCCAGACATGATTTATGGTTATTTCAGTTAGAACACCATGTACATGCATTCAAGCGAAAAAAAACATAATTCCAAATTGTTGTATCGTTAAATAACTACACATTTGTTATATTGTGCGCCTTCTAAATGCTCACTAGTAAATAATCCTGGGGCAGTGATAACAAACCAAAATTCTGGAATCATAAAGCTGTGTTAAAGATAAGAATATCAGATTCACACTAATTAACTGATGTTGGCGATTCTACTGCAAAATGAAATTGTCTTTCCAGAACAAGATTCTTCAGCAGCAACTCACCACACCCTCCGCTTGTGATCCTGTGCCGCCAAATATTAATGAGGACATACGACGCCCGAATCCTGCTAGCATGCCTCGAGGTCTTCCAACGGCCCGGCACTGCACCGTCATCTAAGCAAAATTCATGGAAATTAACCATGTCACGCTATCTTCCATTTCACTGAGCAAATCTGGAAACGGTGACACACACCGCATAGACATAAACCTTTGAATTAATTACTTAAATTTGGTAGTCGATATTTTAACAGATGGTATCTCTTATTCCTACATTTTTTTATTCCCTTGGCTCAAATCATAGAGCATAGGCTCTTGGCAACTGTGCTGCTTTGCTTTCTGTAACAAGTTTCTCCAGCAAAGCTACTTGCCGTAATGCGGCCGATGTTGTAAGGATTATGCCACGGCTTTAAAACACACTCCAGTTCAACACCAGGTGTCAGATGAACCAAAGCGGAATTAGCAAATCATCCCATCCCACATAAAACGGTTCGTTTCCTCACCTGTCTTCCTGCATCAATGGGTGTAAGAAGGAGTAAATCACCAGTGGTAGTGGCGAGGAGGCAGCCTAATGGCAGTGCTCCACTAAGCAACTGACCCTCCTGACCCTAAACAAAAGCACACATCATGTGGACACTGCATCTCTTAAAAGGCAGGTACAAATATATGCCTGCTACTTTATTAGGAATCATCTGCTACGTCTGTCAGGTCTATCCTAGGTGTAGGCATGAATAAGAAACATGCATGCTGTTTTTACTAAAAACAATTAACTACATCAGCTGGGGAGGAACATGAGTGAAACTTGAAAAGTTTCGATAGACAATCACTCCATCTATGCTTAGGCAAAGGGATCTATCATACCTGAAGGTCGGCATTGACGTCAACATATCGGTCTTCTCTGGACACGTTTTCCCAGTAGCGTATGATGCCCTCAGGCGACACAGCCATTACACTCATAGAGACGGTGTCATTGGGGTTTGGGAAGACACAGGCCAGCCTGGCATGATGATTGAGATCACTCGCAGGTAGTGTCAGCTCGCTGCACTGCAACTGCACACGAAACGAATAATGTCCAAAACCCATTGTCAAGAATGCAATTCTTTATTATGCACACAGAATGATGCACGTGTACAAAGTAATATTTATGCACAGTTGCACTCTCACAAGTCGTGGCACACTATGTGCTAGAATACCTCTACTAATGTCTACCACTAAACATGGGCATGCTAAGATTTTAACTACTGCACCGGTATCCAATCATTGTTCCTCAACAACTTTACCTTAGCCACTTCCTCACCACTGTGTTTCCACACAAACAATTTTCGCCTTACAACAAGCCATGCCCAATCCTCGTGGTCAAAGCAAGCACTAACAGGTGTGTCCTCTGCAAATAAAGTGTTATTTTAATACACTACCGGTCATCTTCACATGATGATCACCACAGCACAAAACATGAGATCACTACATATCTCAATCACAAAGAAGTAAAACTTCATGTTTAATAGAAACAATTTTAAAAAGAGGTAGCAAAGTTATGACTAGACTAGATAATAGTAAATGGTAGGCATAAATGCACATTTACACACCATCCAGCATTGTAAGTGCTTCCGCCACCAATACATGTACGTGTAATCCCGATCCATATTTTGATCTGCAAACAAAGATAACAAACACATTTATGAATCTGAATTTATGCTTAACGAACTGATTAATGCTCAGTCCGTGTCTTGAGCTACATATTGTAAGGGTCAGCAGAAGTTGTTAGCTAGTTTGCAAGGATGCCTTATGGCTTACGCCACACCCAGATTCTTTTAAAGCCTTGAATCGACTAAAGTGTGGTGACATGAACAGGGCAACAATTCCAGTCTCACGGAGTGTGGAAAGTTCCAAATAAAATTTGTCTACTTCTTATAACTTAATTAGCCCTATGTTACTAGAGCTTATATGACATACAAGTACAAGCTCTTGCATGCAGAGTTAAATATTTTGGCGCCTACGTAAAACCAGCAGACATCACCCGATCCTTAGTTATCACTTCTGTACATAGCAGTGTATGTCCATTACCAGACTTACTTACGTGACCAAAAAATATAGTTTTTACTGAAGGACCAACATTAATCGCTGTATCGTTTAAATATTTCGAGGCGGTACTACTATACTGGCATGGTAACCTATATTCTAATATAGCTCTACTTAGAGAGCCGAGGTGCCGAGGTAGTGAAATTTCGCAAGGAGTAAAATCTAGCTCTAAACGCAGGAGGCTGCAAATTCCTAATGACATAGATGATCATGTAAAATATCTGGCCCGTCTCGGGTTAATCGGAACATAAAACAACATGGGATGCACACATGGTGGTAATTCGATGGTCATAGCCTCATACGATGTATCATTTGCATGATTGTATGCCATTGCTATCACAGGCACTTGGAGCGTTTCAATAAAATATAATGCTAAATAAATACGAAATCTATTTAAGTACTACCAAAGTCTTAATGTTTTTCTACTCTCTTTCACCTATTACTGCTGACAATTTCCTGTAAATGCCGTCCAAATGCTCATCTGCAACACACGCTGGCTACCGCACGCTAGCTGCTGCACACTGACACATCAATATATAGCAGGTAGGAAAGCGTGCTGCCAAAATTCGCTCGACGCTCACTTGATTTCACACGAATACAACACAAATATTCAACCATTCTACTCCATCTTTGTTTCTATTTGAAGGACAGTGTTCACTTGTTATAAAAACTTACTGTCTGTATTCGTAACCGAGCTGTGTCACGCGAAATCACACAAAGCCTGACGAAATTCTCGCGTTCGCTCCCGTTGCGCAGTTTATGTAAATGACTGCAAGTACAGGGCTATAGGCGGCGCACTGCATTTTGGGAAACTACCACGCTGCTTTCCGACTCCCGTACGAGCCTCGTCAAAGCCGCCAGTGGAGCGTTGCAATAATGCGGTGTAAAAATGAGGTCACGAAGAGCGCCGGTGGGTGTTTCCTGATTCCGGCAGCCATTTACATAAACTGCGCAACGGGAGCGAACGCAAGAATTTCGTCAGGCTTTGTGTGATTTCGCATGACACAGCTTGGTTACGAACACAGACAGTATGTTTTTATAACAAGTGAACACTATCATTCGAATAGAAACAAAGATGGAGTATAATGATTGAATATTTGTGTTGTATTCGTGTGAAATCAAGCGAGCGTCGAGCGAATTTTGGCAGCACGCTTTCCTACCTGCTATATATTTATGTGTCAGTGTGCAGCAGCTAGCGTGCGGCAGCCAGCGTGTGTTGCAGATGAGCATTTACAGGACGGCATTTACAGGAAATA